GATGATTAGCATTTGCCAGCTATCTAGCGCAGCCGATGGTTCTCTTATTTGAACCAGCCACCGCGACTGAGCCCGTGTGATTCTCTCATTTACTAGCTCCCTCCCTCCTCGCCCTCCCTGACTTTCGCTCTTCTCTTTCCATCCCTCATTATCCTGCCAACTGCCGGTCCACCTACGTAGTACCTCCCTCCGGCTCAGCTGAAGACCTGCAAGCGGCCACGAAGACAGGTCGCCACTTGTCATCAACGTCAGCTTCTGAACGCTGATGTCCCGCAGCTTTGCGAGTCGCGCTCGATCACTACTCCCTTCTCTCTCTCTCTCTCTCTCTCTCTCTCTCTCTCTCTCTCTCTCTCTCTCTCTCTCTCTCTCTCTCTCGCTCGCTCGCTCGCTCGCTCGCTAAGAGTCCGCCTGACCCAACCACCCCATGTGCGTGATCAGTATTACAGTCAGGTTGCGGCAGCCATCAGCTTGTCAGTCCTTATCCCGACAAGGCAGGCTACTTTGGATGCTTGACCTTCGTCCACCAGCTCCTCTTGTCAGTCCGTATCCCGACAAGGCTGCAGAAGATCGGCCATCAAGTCTCTCTTGACGTCTTTCATCTCTGCATGGGCACGTGCTCACCTCTGCGCAGTCTCTCCTCCAACTGTCAGATTTCCAAACAAAGGACTTTCTCGACTCGCAATCACACTCATCGGCCGTTCATTCTCATCCCAAACGGCGAAATTCGATCTGCGACATGCGCAAATTACCCAGTGAAAACCAGCCATGCAGCCATGCAGCCATGCAGCCACGCGAGTTCGAGCTTCCTCTTCGCTCCTTGAAAGTGCTTCGACGATGCTACGGCGAGTCACGCGCAAATCTCTACGTTCCTCTGCATATCAGCAGCCGCCATGCACTTAAGAAAAACACGCCACCACGACCCGCTTCAGAAAGGAAAAAAAAAAACAAAAAAAAAAGAGAACAAGGAAAACGGCGCCCCAGAAAAACGATAAAAAAAATTACAAGTAAATAAAAGACCGGCTAGCCACAGCAGCTCTTTCCTCTCGTCGTCGTCTGCATGCAACTCCCCTCCCTCGCTTACGTTGGCGATCAGCTCCCCTTCCAATCTCCACTGATGTGAGTCTCGACTTCTACCGCCGGTTGTGCTCCAACTCACACCTGTCCACGTCTCTCACAAACGACCGTTTAAGCATCCCCCACTCGTCACAATCCGTCTGAGAGTCTATTCTTATCTTATCCGTTCTTATCCTTATCTTGTCCGTTAATTATCCTTATCCCTATCCGTTATTATCCTAATCTTATCCGTTAATTATCCTGATCCCTATCCGTTATTATCCTTATCTTATCCGTTAGACAGCTTCATGCAGTCACGTTCAGCCCCTGTCTCTCAGTTTCAACCCCTTTAACCCCTTCCCATCCCTTTCCATCCGTTTCCGTCCGTTTTCCATCCGTTTGCATCCGTTCCAATCGTTTTCAGTACACTCGGTTCCAATCCGTTTGCAATCCGTTTGCAATCCGTTTGGAATCCGTTTGCAATCCGTTTGCGATCCGTTTGCGATCCGTTTGCGATCCGTTTGCAACTCGTTGGCAATCCGTTTAAACCATGGCAGACGTTCCTCTACACGGCAGACACAAACACACTGTAGGTGGCCAGTTCGATCCTTTCACGAACGGATAAGATCCTTTCACGAACGGATAAAGAAGGCGAACCATGGAGAAGATGACTAACGCTAAGATAACGAGCAGATAAGATAAGATTGCTGTGGTCGAAGATGGACTGATTACAGACCGACGGCAAGACACTACGTAAAAGAGAGAGATAGGGGGAAGTACAGAGAAACGTGGAGCGGGAACTCAGGGCAGGGAGAGAAAACGCTGACACGATGAATAGAAACCCGATATGCATACACTGAAGTGCGAGCTCGGAGAATCTGTGGCTCGTCACTCACGTAGCGCGACGTGTCCGACCGGCTTGATGACAAGCTGAGTCTAAAATTAATCTATTGGCTTTTGCCGCTTTTCAACTGTCACAAGTTGAAAACGAGAACGAAAACGAAAGAAACAGACCGATCACTTTTTCCCCGCACCGCTCTATATGCCCAACCAGAGCAGCAATGGCAATACAGTAGAGACCAAAGGCGAAAGAGAAAAAGGAAGAAAAAAAATGGAAAACCAGCTCAGGAGAAGGCTGGCGAGAGGGAGTGAGTGAGGCCAACAGAGTAAAGAACGACAATCAACTACACCAAGCGAACCTCGAAGGGCAATGGAAAGGAAGGCCAAGAAGGAAGACGGAGAATAGGAGAAGGGAGGTGGTGAGGGGAAGGGTGAAGAGGAAACGGAACGTCAATTCGTCACGGTGACAGCCCACGTCTTCCTCTCCTTTCTCCCTCCTCCTCCTCCTCTTATTGGGAATGCACACTTCGTTGACTGTCATTCCAACAGTGTAACCTGCTGACACGTGTCTACAGCGAGAAAAACCGTCAACTACCTTAGACAGATAGTAATGGCGTGGTGTCTGACGCGTAGAGCAGCGACGGCCAGGCTACGCGAATTCTAAAACGACACGACTGCATGAGAAAGGACAAGAATAATGCGCATGCAACGTCGTACCGTCAGGATCTTGCGACCCGTTCTGTGAGGTTCCCCTTCCCCTTCCGTCACACTTCGCGTGACGTCTATAAAAAGGGTGGGAGGGGTGTCGGGGACAGTGCTGACAGAGGGAGGATGTCCATCAGGAGGCTGGACGGACCGAGTTCAGCCTATATGCCATTGGCACAGTGAACCCACCCACACACAGAGCACTCTCAAACCCAACCACACAACCTCCACCACACACGCGGGGGAATCGCCCTAAATTCCGTAGCAGATTCGAAATAGATGCTTCGTTAGTCGTCAACGCAGTCCGACGTTCACATATACCTCTCGTTAGTGTTGCGCTGTGATTTTTTTCAGCTAGTCGAGACAACTGGCCGCTGGTCTCATTTGCCCTCTCTCTCTCTCTCTCTCTCTCTCTCTCTCTCTCTCTCTCTCTCTCTCTCTCTCTCTCTCTCTCTCTCCCGCGCGCGCTCTGCTCGCTGGGTCGGTCGCTTTGGGTGAGTGCGCATGTCTGGATGAGGGCTGTTGCTGCTCTCTGTGCGTGACAGGGGCATAACATGCTCTCTGCTCGCTCGCTCGCTGGTTCGGTCGCTTTGGGGGAGTGCGCGTGTCTGTATCGAGGCTGTTGCTGCTCTCTCTGCGCGCATTTATGTCACACAGGGGCGTAACATGTTCTCTGGCTGCTCGCTCGCTCGCTCGCTCGCTGGTTCGGTCGCTTTGGGGGAGTGCGCGTGTCTGTATCGAGGCTATTGCTGCTCTCTCTGCGTGCATTTATGTCACACAGGGGCGTAACATGCTCTCTGGCTGCTCGCTCGCTGGTTCGGTCGCTTTGGGGGAGTGCGCGTGTCTGTATCGAGGCTGTTGCTGCTCTCTGTGCGTGCGTTTATGTCACACAGGGGCATAACGTCAAGGCCTGAAGCGACGCTGTACTGTAGGTCTCGGTTTTTGTTCAACAGAAAAGTGTAGAGACACAGCAATACGGGAAGAAGAAGAAGAAGCGGCGACAAGACCTCAGCTCTCTCGCGGAAGGTTCTTTCACAGGGGAGGGAAAATCTAGGCCAGTGTATTCATTGAATTGGGCTTGCCCTTCGTTCAGAAGAGAATGGACCTGTCCTTCGTTATTCCGAAAGGTGATATCTCTCATTGCTTACGTACAGACTTGAAGCGCATGGGTACTGGTTCTAGATTTGTCCAGGTCATCCTGGCGCAGAGCCATAACATCCTCTGTATCTTTTCAAGGTTGTGGTTCCTCTCTGTGCATCGTTCCAATTTTTTATTTTTATTTTTGTTTAAAAGCATCGTTCCAATTTGGATGTCAGGAAGGACGAATGCGTATTTAACCAAACCAAGAAAATCATTTAAATCATTATAGATTTTTTTCTTTTCTTTTCTTTTATCTTATTTTATTTTATTAAGCTGCCTTCTCCTCATCGCCGGACAGCCACATATTTTTTCTCTCAACTCACATATCTTTTTTAACTGGCGTTCTGCCATGTCATGGAACATATCTTTCTTTTTCAGAACCTACCACTACTCTTAAGGCTATACAGATTTGAATTGATTCATGGAAAGAAAATTACTTTACATTTGAGGCAAACAGCGCGGAGACGAAGCTCACATGAGGATCAGGGTGACCCTACACGCTACTGCATACTCGAGGCCACGGACATGTACGCGGGAAGGATGCCAACTGCTTCCTTTCATGCTTCTGTGTATCACCGGTGCAGTTGTGATGAAACGGCCTCTGCTTTAAATGACCCTGCTCCGGACACTGGCCTGATAAACTGAAATTGCCATCTCTCTCTCTCTCTCTCTCTCTCTCTCTCTCTCTCTCTCTCTCTCTCTCTCTCTCTCTCGCGCGCGCGCGCGCGCGCGCACGCGCACACACACACACAGACGGCCCTATCCACTGTTCAGCGGCCTACCGGTAGAGTCCGAAAATCCTCTAGCTAAGTCTGTGGAGTAAGTCTGAGAAACTACCGGTAGTCTGTCACCGCCACAAAAACTCACTCAACACACGCACTCAGCCGTGGATACCCAGTGGCATGACCGCTACCCTCTTCCCCGAACATAACGCACCCTAATCATCACCCCAAAGAGAGCTTTCATGCATTCATAATCAGGGTGTGTTGTATCCAGTGGAATACTGCAGGACGTCCCCGACCGTAGCGGCATTGGTGTACTTTTTAGCACGGGCGTGTTGTGGCGTGTGTTTGTGCATGCGTCCGTGTGTGTGTGTGTGTGTGTGTGTGTGTGTGTGTGTGTGTGTGTGTGTGTGTGTGTGTGTGTGTGTGTGTGTGTGTGTTTGTTTGTTTGTTTGTGTGGCATTGAGGAGGTCTTGGGCTGAATCCCCATTGGCCTCATGTACCTTCCTGGGCAAGCTTGACGCCCGCCACCTGGAGATA